AAAAAAAAAAAAAAAAAAAAAAAAAAAAAGGCAGGGAAATAATTAACACAAAATTTAGAACGGTGGTTACCCAGAGAAAAGAGTAAGAGGATTTCATCAGAGGGGTACATGTAAGGGCTTCAAAGCTGCTGATAAAATTCCACTTAACCGGGGCGCCTGAGTAGCTCAGTCAGTTAAGCATCTGACTCTTCATCTTGGCTCAGGTTATGATCTCACGGTTCCTGGGATCAAGCCCCAGGTCGTGTGCCGTGAGCACAGAGCCTGCTTGGGATCCTCTCTCTCCATCTCTCTGTCCCTCCCTGGCATTCTCTCTCTCTCAAAATAAAGAAATTAAAAAAAAAAATCCACTTAAATTGAGTAGTAGGTACATAGGTGTTCCTTTATTACATCAATTATATGTCTTATTGGATTTATTTCACAATCTTTAAAAATTGTTACTAGACTGAGTTAAAAGTTGTCTCCAGGGCAACTCAGAGGTAATCTACTTGGATCCAGGGTTTGCAGAACACTTACTAAGAATATGAGATGAAATTTCCTCCTCAAAATATAATCAGAATTTTTTGTATCCTGAATATGTATCATAACCAAAAAGTATAACAATATATAAACATCTCTCAGAAAAATGAATTTTTGGGTGGCTCAGCTGCTTGAGCGTCTGACTCTTGATTCTGGTTCAGGTCATGATCCCAGGGTCGTGGGATCAAGCCCTGCTTTGGGCTCCACGTTCAGCATAGAGCCTGCTTAAGATTCTCTCCCTCTGCCTCTCTCCCCCACGTGTGCACTCTTGTGTCTCTCTAAAAATTTAAGTTAAAAAAAGGAAAAAAAAGAAACCAATTTGTACCTTTAAAAAAAAAAAAGAAAAAAGAAAAATGAATTTTCTGCTTCCAACCTGGAGAAGCCCTTGTTCTTGGAGGTAATGAGTGGTAATACCTAGGAAAGAAACAAATTAAGCCACTAGGCTAAACTACATCTAAACCACCCTACCGAACTGCTCAACTCATCCACTGTCCTCCTGATCCACAATCCTGCTCAATCTAAGTGGCTAGTTACCTTCTTCATCATCTACTTTAGGGAGAATGCCAGTCTCTTCATCGAAGTCCGGAAACTCTTCTTTGGAAAGGACATTGGCAGCGATCATCTAGTGAAAGGACAGAAGCAACATCTGTAACCTGCTGGGATCGAAACTCTTCTTTTGCAGTACAGAGGTTCCACATAGGAAACCAAGGTTTTTCCTCTTTTGACCGGGATTGCAGGGCCTCAAACATCACATATCTCATCTCTAGGGGGCACAATGTGGCGCTTAAAAGCAGGGCTCAAGGGTCGTGCCCCCAGGAAGCATTATCTGCTCCTTCCCTGGTTTCCGCAGCACTGTGCACATTCCCTGTTATGTAACATCCAACTTTGACAATTATGTTTCCATCTGTCTCCCGCCACTAGACCTTGAGCTCCTCAAGGGTGAGGAACCATGATACATTTGCCTCCGTCACCTGGCTCTGATATGTACTGAGGAATGGTGGAAACAAGAACTCACACAGCACTAACCACACGCAGGCACTAACGTAAGTGCTCCACTTCTTCCGCCTCATTTAATCCCCACGGTGCCACTACTGGTCCTGTTCCACAGATGAGGGTACTGAGGCACAAAGAAGTAGAGTGGCTTGGCTCAGGATCCCACGGCTAGTAAGCGGCCAGGAAGTTCCCCCGGGCCACTGAGCTCCAGGGCCCACACTCCTAACCACCACGCTACATGCAGAATGGCTATGAAGCCATACAGGCAAATGGCCCCAACCTGTTTGATCTCCCACTTCTCTGGATCAGAGATGCGGGTAAGGCGCTTGCGCTCCAGAGAGTCATCCTCTACTTCAGGGGCGCTGACGAGGGAAAGGTGAGTGGGTCTGTCCGGATTCCTCATTGAAGTCTCTTCATTGGTCTCCCCAACAAGATTTCGTCGTCGATTGGGATTTAGATCTTCACCAGTCTCTTGATCCACATCCTAAGGCAAAAAACAAAAAACAAAAAACAAAAAAAAGGAACTAACTCATTTGCTGTCCTCTTTTTGTTTCCTTGGCCATCAGACATGGAAACGGGCGCCTGGGTGGGTCAGTTGGTTAAGCATTTGACTTCGGCTTAGGTCATGATCTTACAGTTCATGAGTTGGAGCCCTGCATCGGGCTCTCTGCTCTGAGTGCAGAGCCCGCTTCAGATCCTGTCTTCCTCTCTCTCTGCCCCTCCCTTGCTCGCACGCACACACGCACTCTCTCGCTCTCTCTCTCTCTCTCAAAAATAAATAAGCATTAAAAAAAATGTTTTTTTAAGACCTGGAAACAGACTGGATATCTCACCTACCTTCATGCTCAGACTGGTCTTGGTCCCAGTGAAGGATAGCACTTTGACTTTGACCCTCTGGCCTTTGCTCACCACATCAGCCACATTGGCCACACGGCCTTCTCGCCGGAGCTCAGAGATGTGCACCAGGCCTTCCCACCGCTTCCTGAGGGAGAGTCACATATATGTAGAGCATGCCTAAAATACCTTTTCCCCAACCAATTTCCACCCTGTTGGAACTCAACAAGAGGAAATGGTCTTAAGCTCAAAAACTCAAGAGGAAAGTACCAAGAAGACGGTTAAAAAAAATAAAATAGTATTACCACCCTCCCAAAGAAAAGACATGGGGCTAGGGGGGACAAATTCTCATGTGTCTCAGTGAGCAAAAGGGCAGATCTCTTGAAGGGAGAGTAAGGAATGTGTGGCTATATATCATTTCAAATAAAAGTCAAATTCTAACAACCTGATATGGCTGATTTGATTAAAGCGACATTAATCGTAACAACTTTTTAAAATATGAAAATCCTCAGCGATAAGAGAAATTCTGCCCATCACAGGTTTGAAAGAAGATCACCAACTAATACCTTAATCCCTCTAGCTGCACGAAGCATCCAAACTGCATGATGCTGGTAACTTTGCCATTGTAAATGTCCCCAATGGCAGGCTCCTCCGGGGGAGGGCGGTCCACGTGTTTATCCCTCCATCTGTCCAGATTCCTCTCCCCATACTTGTCCCGGTCCTTCCGGTCTTTGGGGGGACTCTGACTTCTGCTCCTAGACCGGTATCTAGACTTCCCTTTATTCCTCTCCCGGGTCCTGGAATGTGACCGAGAGCGGGACCGGTGTCTCCTCTTGTGGTCTCTATCACGGTCTCGCTCCCGCTCCCGGTCACGCTCGCGGTCGCGGTCACGGTCACGGCTCCGGCTCCGCTTCTTCTTCTTTGTCTTGTCTCTAACAAATCAACAAACATTTGTTTTAAAAACGAAACCAGCCCAATTTCACCTCTGCATCCCCAAGCACCCAGCACAGTGCCACGCACATGTCAGGTACCTACTAAGTGCTGAGTTGAATTAGTTTCTCTCGGACATCCCTGTAGGCCCATAAAGGATGAGGTCACAAGTGCCTCCTTCAACCCTGATTTCTAAGTTATAAACGTCTCAGCGTTTTCTGCATAAATACTCTTTGCAGGGAACAATGAAAATAGATCTAACAATACAGTACATGGCCAGTCTAGAGTCTGTAAGCTTGTCCCAAATTTTGCTTAGCTGGCCCACAAAACTCAATTATCGCAGCACCCTAAGCTTCCAAAGGATAGGGTGATGGACAAACCGGTGCTCTGCATCTCTTTGCTTCTCCTGGCCCGCTGCACTGGGCATTAAGGCCTCCAGTTCTTTCAGGACATCCACAGCGACTTTCACATCATCCTCATCCAGCATGGTCTGCAACACCAGAGGCCAGCAAAGTTAGGAGGGGAGGGGAAGAAAATCATGTAAGAATCTGTATTCTGGGTACATCTACAAACCTGACAGCCCCTACATCACTGACCACTTATGTGAAGGAAGCAGAGACGGGTGGAGATTTCCAACACCATTTGAGAGAGAGACAGAAGGAGTGAGCAAACACTCTTGGAAGCCGTTGATACATCTGGCAAATGCCCTTTGTCCTTAATACAAGCCCATGGAGGGCAATTAGCCATCATCCCTCCCGTGAAAGCATGCAAGAGGTATTATAAATAGAAAATGATGTTAAAATTTTTAAAAAGCAATGCTTTAAAAAGAAGGCTTAGGGGGGTGCCTGGGTGCCTCAGTCAGTTAAGCATCTGACTCTGGCTCAGGTCATGATCTCAAGGTTCATGGGTTCGAGCCCTGTGTCAGGCTCTGTGCTGACAGCTCGGAGCCTGGAGCCTGCTTCAGATTGTGTCTGATTCCCTCTTAGTCCCTCCCCTGCTTGTCTCTCAAAAATAAATAAATGTTAAAAAAAAAAAAAAAAAAACTTAAAAAAAAAGAATTCTAGCAATTCTTTTTAAAGAATTTAAAGAAGTGTTTTTAAAGAATTGCACTCTCTTCCCCCCTTTCACCTGCTAAATTTTTTTCCACAGTGCTTATTGTTATCAGCTATATTATACAGTGTACTTGTTTACTGCCTGTATCCTCCCCACTAGTGGAGTTTACATGTTTATTTCCTGCCCCCATCCCAATACTATGATGTAATCTCCAAGAGAGCAGACATTCTGTCTGTCTTGTTTACAGCTGTATCCCTGGTACTTAGATTAGTGCTTGGTACATAGTAGGTACTCAATAAACACTTGCCAGAATAAAATTTAAAAATCAAAACACTTAAAAAAAATTAGACCAAACACATAACAGAGCAAAAAATCTCACTTCACACATCAGGTATCTGTTCTAGAACCTTATTTCATAGCCCTAATCACTGCTTCCCACAATTCTCAATCCCATTTCCCTCAAGTATTTTCTCTAAACTCTTTAACACTATACTATGTATAGTACATGCTCAGGGAGTGATCCAACACTTTCAATTTGAAAACTATATTATGGGGCCCCTGAGTGGCTCAGTCAGTAAAGCATCTGACTTCAGCTCAGGTCATAATCTCACGGTTCATGAGTTTGAGCCCCGCATCAGGCTCTGTGCTGACAGCTCAGAGCCTGGAGCCTGCTTCAGATTCTGTGTCTCCCTCTCTCAGCCCCTCCCCTGCTCACTCACTATCAAAAGTAAATAAACATTTTTTAAAAATAAAGAAAGAAGAATATATTACAATGAGAACTCCTGGGTGGCTCAGTCGGTTAAGCGTCCAACTCTCGATTTCAGCTCAGGTCATGATCTCATGGTTTGTAAGACTGAGCCCCACATCGGGCTCCATACTAACAGCGTGGAGCCTGCTTGGGTTTCTCTCTCTCCCTCTCTCTCTGCCCCTTCCCAGCTCACACACTCTCTCTCTCGAAATAAATAAGTAAACTTAGAAAAGAAAAACATATTACAATGAACACAAACGTAAAACCAGTAACTAATGACACACACAAAAGGGACAGGGCTCAGAGAAATACCCAATTAGAAGAGACATTCTCAAAATGGTATCAGTACCCGGACAGAAGGGTTGTCTGGTTGACAAAGCACTGGGAAGAGTTCCTTCAGCTTTTCCTTTCCAGTTTTGGGTTTAACAACTGGATCTTGTTTCATCACAGAGCATATAAAAGGGTTAAAAAAAAAAAGATGTATTTAATATTCTTAATGGTTAACAATGAACTTTAACATCAGATTTGCATCAAACTAAAAACAGAACATGGCATTTTTCTACATATTATTCATATACATTACTATACACATAATTCAATTTCCTAAAAATAACGTTGATTACAAACTACGTGGGCATGGGGGAGGGCGCGAAGATACATCAGAATTCATCTGGTTACGTAAGCAGTCATTTGGAAAATTTTACCAGGATGTGTACTTGCTCAGCAGCTGCTGCAAGGGACAGAAACAATTTACAGGATGCTCACAAGCTAGACCATTCTGGAGGCTGAAGCTCAGCCAGATGCCCTACTCACCTTTGCTAGTAGAAGGCTTTGCTGGAGGCCGCATGGTTTGTATGAGGCGTAGCAAGTTACTAATAAGAGAATCCTTTGAAAAGAAACAGAACAAAAATGATCAGCCCCTGAATCAGTGCTTGAAAACAGTCAGAAATGGGATGACCTTTAAAGGGTGGCTGCATAGCTGAATTTAGCTAATTGGAACAAATGAAGTGCAGAGTATCAATTTGATGTGGTGTGAACCTAGCAAAGTAGCTACGGATAAAGTGGGTATTTTTGGACTTTTGGGAGGGAAAGGTAATTTAGTTCCCTTCAACCATTTTTATTTTCCACGGTTTAGAACTACCTCCAAAACCTAAATTCTTTTGTTTTTGACTTCCAGATTCATAGAACAAGGATATAAACACTCATAAAGACTTAATGATGGAAATCCTACCCCATTTTCTTAGGAAGGTGTCACAGGAAATCCAGTTCTATCACCACTGCTCGGTGGCATAAAAAAAACATTACACACTTAATGGTTTCTTTGATTGGTATGTACAAGTTCTCTCCTTTCTCTATCAAAATCCTATGTTAAATCCTACCAAAATTTAAATTCAATAGTGACAGTAAAACAAAATAGGGGTCTCCAGATACACATACCGTGAATTCAGCACCATTTTTGACCAGAGAAGCCTTAAAAGTATCAAACGTGGTATTTTTCTCAGCAAGACTGATCACAAATTCAGCTGCAAACGAGAAAAGGGATTAAAACTGGAACGGAGGCGAGCAAAAAATCATTTTCAAGTACATTAAAAGCAAAACCAATTAGCCAATCCAACAGTCATAGAAACCAAAGAGTACTATCCAGTGAGGGTAAAGAAAGAGAATTTAGAGTACCAAGATTATCCGTGCATGTTCTAGTTAATTTTTAGAAACAAAAACAAGATATTCCTACAAAATGGCACACCTCACTGTCCCAGATGATCTCCTACTCTTCTCATGAGACTACTAGCTGTGACCTGTTGTCATACAGACTCCAGAAGTAACAATGTCCAAAAGCAAGAGCCCACCCTCACCCTCCTGATGAAAGCCCACAGTAGGATGCATTCTACAGTGTCTGCAAGGTCAGACTCAATCCACATATGAGAGCCAGGCAGCTGCTGGATGGTCCAACCTCCAAGTTGATAAAAGACTTACCTGCTTCCCAAATTCTTCACTACAAACCTGCCCAGTGTTTGAATTTCTTTTTTTTTTTTTTTATGTTTATTTTTTGAGAGAGACAGAGACAGAGACAGAGTGTGAGCAGGGAAGGAACAGAGAGAGAGGGAGACACAGCATCTGAAGCAGGCTCCAGGCTCTGAGCTGTCAGCACAGAGCCCGATGCGGGGCTCAAACTCATGAACCGTTATATCATGACCTGAGCCGAAGTCGGATGCTTAACTGACTGAGCCACCCAGGCGCCCCTGAAATCTCTAATATTAGAGCTACTTATTAATTAAGAGACTTTCAGGAGAAAAGCGCATTTTATTAGGGGCTGAGATAATAAGCCTCACACTGTGAGCCCCACAAGAAAATGTTAATGATTTCATCGGGATTTTAAACCTAAAAATAACAATAATAACATGGATAACTAACATAAACTAGTGCTACTATACCACTTCCATGCTGGCATTTGTCTTTACTTTTTTTTTTTTTTAACGTTTATTTATTATTGAAAGACAGAGAGAGACAGAGTGTGAGCAGGGGAGGGGCAGAGAGAGAGGGAGACTCAGAATCTGAAGCGGGCTCCAGGCTCTGAGCTGTCAGCACAGAGCCCGACGCGGGGCTCGAACTCACAAACTGTGAGATCATGAGCCGAAGTCGGACGCTTAACCGACTGAGCCACTCAGGCGCCCCTGTCTTTACTTTTTTGAGGACATTAAGTAAAAGCTAAATGCCTTCAGGCTACATGAACATAGCCTACGCATAACAAGTTAGTATCAGCAATGCCAGTGGTTAAGACTTTTGACCACCTGCTACATGCCAGGCACTATGCTAAGTGCTTCACATGAGCTATCCCCATGATCCTCATAACCCTCACTGGTAGGTACCATTACTGGCCCTATTTTACAGACGAGGAGGCTAAGGGTTTGAGATGCTGACCTACCCAATAATAAATGGTGGAGCCAGGACTGGAACCCAGGCAATCTGACTTCAAAGCCCACATTCGGCAGAGAAATGTGGAGGGAGAAGTCAGTCATATGGTGCTAGACATGCAATGTTCAAGAGTCTATTTCAAAGCAATCAGCAGCATATTCACACTGCAGCTGTCATTAGTTAGGGCGGTTGTTTTTGTTTTTTGTTAATTTTCAGGATTATATGGGGGCACATTAAATTAACTGAGCTATCAAAAATGAATTAGTGGTTAAAAACAAGTCCATTGGAGCACCTGGGTGTCTCAGTTGGTTGAGTGTCTGACTCTTGCTTTAGGCTCAGGTCATGATCTCACAGGTTCGTGGGATCAAACCCACATCTGGCTCTGCACTGACAGTGGGGAGCCTGCTTGGAATTCTCTCTCTGCATCCCCCCCTCTGTCCCTCCCCCTGCTCGCTCGCGCTCTCAAAATAAATAAATAAACATTAAATACATATATGTGTGTATATATTTATGTTTATTTATATTTATTTTTATTTATATTCATATTCATATTCATATTTGGTCTTCATCCCCTTACCAGGCACAGCATTCCTAAAAGCCTTGGAATTTCAGGAAGTGTAGAGTGAAAAACATCTTTTGTTACATTAAGATGACTTTAGTAAAACCCCTAGGTAATGTCATTTGGGAGCTGGTTGCCAGGGAAACCAACCATGCGACTACAGGCTGGAACTTTTAGCCCCACTATTGACCTCCAGAGAGGGGAGAGGGGCTGGAAATCGAGTTGACTTACGAATGGCCAAGGATTTAATCGATTATGCCTCCTATAATGGAGCCTCCACAAACACGCAAAAGGACTGGGTTTGGAGAGCTTCTGGGTAGGTGAACAAGTGGAGACCTGAGGCAGTGGGGCACTCAGCATAGAAGCTCCTCAATCTTTCCCACATACCTTGTCCTACCCATCTCTTCCGTCTGGCTGTCCCTGGGTTATCTCCTTCTCTAATAAACCAGTAATCTAGTAAGTAAAATGTTTCTAAGTTCTGGGAGCTGCTCTAGCAAATTATCAAATCCAAGGAGGGGAGTCGTTGGAACCTCTGATCTATAGCCACTGGCTCAGCACAGGTGACCACCTGGACTGTGAATGGCAACTGAAGTTTAAGGTGAGTCAGTCTTACAGGCCTGAGCCCTTAACCGGTGGGATCTGATGCTATCTCCAGATAGTGTCAGCATTGAGTTCAGTGACACCGATCTGGTGTCACAGAATTACTTAGTGGTACTGGAAAAAACACACATCATAAATTGGGGGGGGCGGGGGGGGCGGGGTAGGTATGCCTGGCTGGTTCAGTGGGTGGAGCATACGACTCTGGATCTCTGGGTTATGAGTTCAAGCCCCATGTTGGGTGTAGAGATTACTTAAAAAAAAAAAAAAATCTCAGGACATCTGAGTGGCTCAGTCAGCTAAGCGTCAGACTCTTGATTTCAGCTCAGTTCATGATCTCCCAGTCCATGGATTCAAGCCCCACGTCGGGCTCTGCACTGACAGTGTGGAGCCTGCTTGGGATTCTCTCTCCCTCTCTCTCTGCCCCTCTCCAACACACGTGAGCCCCCGCTCTCTCAAAATAAATCTAAAAAAATAAAGTAAAATCTTTTAAATAAATAAACATGTGAATAAATGGTGTTGGAATTAGAAACAGAAAAAGCGTATTTGTGGCTTACTTGCAAATTAAATGGGGTCTTCAGTTATATACAGGCTAGAAAATCATGGAGTTTACACCTCACTTTACTTTTGTACATAATGAGGGTAACATCGAAACAATTTAACACTGGCTCAGTAAGTATTTGCTGAATGAAAGAACATATTACCCAGATAGTAAACTACAGGAGTGTTGCTCATTACCATCTAAAAGAGAAAGAGAATGAGAGAAAATGATACAGGACAGGCACATCTTGACTGGGAAGCAAGAAAAAAGTGAACTAAAATACACTGGCAGCAGGGCATCTTCCTAGGTGCTATATGGTCACCCTGGGAAAAGCAACTATCATCCCCATTTCATAGATGATGAAAAGGGCTTCAGAGAAATTGGGTATCTTACTCAAGGTCACACAATCTAATTCCCCGGACCCCTTCTGTCACATGCCCTTTCCCTTCCATCTCTCCAGCTGGTGACTTAACTTCGTCTTCATTTAGAAAGCAGAACAATCAAATAGATGTCTCCCCCTCATCTTCCTACCACCAACCCCTAAACCTGTCCGCATCTATAACCACATTCTCTGTTCTCCTTCCTATTAAGGAAGTGGGCCATCTGGCTATCAAATGGGCCGCCTGGCTGGCTCAGTGAGAAAAGCATCCAACTTTTGATCTCGGGGTCATGAGTTCCAGCTCCACACTGGGTACAGGGGTTATTTAAATAAGACTTTAGGGGCACCTGGGGTGGCTCAGTCAGTTAAGCTTTCGACTTCGGCTCAGGTCATGATCTCACACTTCGTGGGTTCAAGCCCCACATCCGGCTCTGGGCTGACAGCTCAGAGCCTGGAGCCTGCTTCAGATTCTGTCCTTCTCTCTCTCTGCCCCTCCCCCACTTGCGCACACTCTCTCTCAAAAATAAATTTAAATAGTTAAAAAAAAATGTTAATGGATCAGGCATCCCTCCACCTATCAAAGGTCAATTCCTCCACTCATGCTCTTGACTCCATCCATCCCTTTGCCTTCATAAGGACTCCATTTTTCTGTGGCCTTAGCTCTAGGCCCTTAGCCTTTTTCAGTTCCTCGGTTGGGGTTCTCCACCTGTACCGTCTGTCCCAAAACGCCTAATAAATGGTTGAGAACTGTTAAAGGCAGACCTCAAAAGACCTGGGTTCCAGATCAGGCTCACATTTGATATGTGATATCCAGGAGGATTACTTAATTCATTAATCAGTGCCTTGTTTTCTTAATCGAAAAACAGATAATACATCTCACAGGGTCGTGACAAGACCAAGTAAGATAACATAAGTAAAACACCGTGCATAACATCTGGCATGCCAATAAATCTCGGCCATTATCATCATCATTATGATGCGGCTGCTGCTGCTGTTATTATTAACGCTGTTTAATTAACTGGGACCTGAGGAAAATAAAAACAGGAAGCAGGAGCGATAGCCACTCTGGGTTTCACTGACAGCTCTGGGCAATGGTTTCTAAACAGCTCAGCCTGGAGAATTCTCAAACGGGGACCCCGGGCCGAAGGTTCCGCAGGACCGAGTGTCTGCGACAGAGAAAAAGAGACTCATACGGACACAATACTCAGCCTATCAACCCCATTTCTCCTTCGCTTCTCTCGACCCTAAACCCAGAGGCCGCAGGGGCCTCCCCGAGCTTACCCAGGTCCTTGTCGTTGATCCCCAAGTGATTGTCCAGCTCGGTGCAAACTTTCGACACTAAAGACAGATACTCGAGTTTGGCGAGTTCTTCCGCGGGGCCTAGCTCCGTTCCGGTCACAGCCCCCGCCAGGGCCACGGCCACGGCCATGGCTACAGCTGCCCGCACCCCGCTTTACCGGGCCTTCTGAACTGCTCGGGGCCTGCTCCAGTTTTCACTTCCGGGTCGGCGCACGTCCCTGTTGTTTACAGTAAATTGAAAACTACCGGAACTTCCCATGACGCAACAGAGAATCATAGAGATCAGACAGGAAGTGCCTAAGGAAGGGACGGCCAAGTGGGTTACTCTGGGCGCCGGCCGCGCCCTCTACAGGCCATCCAGCTTCTTGGTCGGTTCTCAGGCCTGGAAACATTCACTCTGAGAGCTCTCCCACCCACCGTCGGCAGAGGGCGACCGTGGCCTGCGCAAGGGGCGCCGGGGAGTTCACGATCCCCGCGCCTCACACGCGCCTGCGCCTGCGCTTTGAAAAAGGAACCCAAATTCAAGTTTGGAAAAGGCAAAACTCGGTTTACAGAGGTTCCCTGTATTACCAGGGCTTTGCCTCTTCTTGGCTCATAACTATCTCGAGCGATTCTGTAGGTGATAGTCTACTTCTGTTATTAATTCATTTTACAGATGAGGAAACAACACTTCTGTTATCTAGCTAAATGACATTGGGCAAATTAATCTGTGGAGCCTGTTTTCTCATCTATAAACCGGGATAATGTTCTAACTGGGCTTAGGTGATAACGAAATAAGACAATTGTGCAAGGAACCTAATGCACAGTAAACACACTACAAATGGCGGTTACTATAATCCCAAAGCTGAGAGAGACAATGGCTACTGTAAAATTCATCTGTCAACTACAGATCCCCTCAATCTGAGACCCCAGGGAGCCACCTGGCTCCTCTCTTGTGAAAACCCCTTCTGGGGGAGAACCTAGGTGGCTCAGTCAGTTAAGTGTCCAACTTTTTTTTTTTTTTTAATTTATTTATTTTTGAGAGAGAGAGAGCCTGTGAGTTGGGGAGGGGCAGACAGAAGGAGAGAGAGAATCCCAGGCAGGCTCTGCATTGTCAGCACAGAGCCCAATGTGAGGCTTGAACCCATGAACCATGAGATCGTGACCTGAGCTGAAATCAAGAGTGGGACATTTGGGGCGCCTGCGTGGTTCAGTCGGTTAAGCGTCTGACTGCAGCTCAGGGCATGATCTCGCGGTTCGTGAGTTGGAGCCCCGCATCGGGTTCTGTGCTGACAGCTCAGATCCTGGAGCCTGCTTCAGATTCTGTGTCTCCCTCTCTCTCTCTCTCTCTCTGAAATATAAACATTAAAAAAAGAAAAATTTAAAAGAGTAGGACACTTAACTGACTGAGCCATCCAGGTGCCCCAAGTGTTCAATTCTTGATTTTGGCTCAGGTCATGATCCCAGGGTCGTGGGATGGAGCCCCCGAGTTGGGCTTATGCTCAATATGGAGCCTGCTTAAGATTTTCTCTCTCTCTCCCTCTGCTCCTCTCCCCCACTCACAATCTCTCTGTGTCTAAAATAAAAATAACTTTGGGTGCTCAGTCGGTTAACGTTAACCGTTAAGGATTTTTCCACACCACACTGCTCTGTGTGATGAATAAGGAAATGAAGGCACCCCGAAGTGAATGACCCTCCGATCAAGTAAAAGGGAGGAAATCGGACCCTTTTGCTTTCAGCTTCAGGCTACATTACCCTGCTGCACCTTTGGACTGTGTCCCTCCAACATCTCAGCATGGGCTTAGAAATGGCAGAGCAAACCACGGAGCAGTAGTTCTCGCTGACTGCAAGAGCTCCAGGTTTCCAGGTCCCTAAGGAATCAGTACTGCACTGATTCCTTTTCCCCATGAATGGAAAGGAAAATCCTTCAACTTGCTCAACTTGCCAGCTTGGAATTGGGATATTAGAGACTCACTCCATTGGACTTCCTTTCTCTATGCTTCTTGGCTTTTAAAAATGTTATATTTATGGGGCACCTGGGTGGCTCAGTCGGTTAAGTGCCCGACTTCCGGCTCAGGTCGTGATCTCGCGGTCTGTGAGTTCCAGCCCTGCGGCGGGCTCTGTGCTGACGGCTCAGAGTCTGCTCTCTGCCCCTCCCCCACTCGTGCTGTGTCTTTCTCTCTCTCTCAAAAAGAAATAAACATTAAAAAATAAATAAATAAAAATGTTATATTTATATTCTGCTTTTCTCCAATATTTAACGGGGGGGGGGGACATAGAGTCTGTTTTGTCTTAAAATCTCTGTGGGGAAAAGGGCTATAGAACCACAATGGGTAATAGCAAGAGCAGTAAAATACTGTGGAAACTTTTAGAATTATTTGGGAGTTATTGAACATACATCTCAACAGTAAATACGAACAGGAAAACTTATTAAATTTTATTTACATAGGTATGTTTCAGGAGTGCAAGTTTGTTATGCAATACACATATTTCCTGTAACACCAAGGAATTTTTTTGAAGCCAAAGGAAAAGAAAGAAAAGCATAGATAATGGAACCTGACAGCCAAACACAGATGCACATGGAATCCTCCTCTTAAGAGGCACTGAATCAAATGCAGTCCAAAAGTGAATGCATTCTAATTGTCCTTTGGTTCTTAATATATTTAATTAATGTTTTTATTAATATTAAAAGATATTTTTAATATTACATCAATTCAATTAATCCCCCATTATTATTATATTGCTTTCCTTGGATACCTTCCTTGTGACCCTCTTAACACAGCCATTGACAGTTCCCTGTAAATAATTTACCTTCACCAAAAAATATATATATATTAAAATAAATAGCCTGTGTTTAGCATGCTTGGTCACCACCTTCACCACCACCCATGATGGGTAAGAAATGATTTCCTACCACCCTTTTTGTAGTAACAAGGACTTTGCATTTACGTCTGTTCCTAGACTGATATACGTGTTTGGCCCTAATCGCAATTCCCACATTATTTCTGCTCTGTCCCAGAAACTAGTCACAGCTCCTGGCATTTGGCTAAGAAGTTGGGGAAGGTAGAAAGCAGAGCAGAAGGTACTGAACCTCTTAGCAACCCTAGATTGGATGGGGGAAGGCAGAAATCATCTAAGTGTGTGTAGCTGAAAGGTGGCATCCTTAGGGAAGTTGGTGAGAAAAATCACAGGACTTCCTGTCACCAAAACAAAATGGTATTGCTACAACCAACACAGCCTAGCTTGTTCTGCTGGGGTAAAACTCAGGTCTCAGGAGAAACACCTCTGCTCTGGAAGGCAAAATCAGAATGATTTGCTTCTAAGCATATAACTGCCACTCAGTTGTTACTGTTATTAATGCAGAGGAACTTCAGAAAAAAATGGCGCCTCCCTCACTGCTCCACTGGGGCCCTGAGGCAACCCAAAGATATTGACAAACATGGCCTGAGCCCCTGCATTTGAGGCCCTCCCTGATAGGGACGGGACCCCAGAGCAAGTGAAGTCCTGAAACACCCCTTTGCCTCTTCCTCCAAATTCTTCTCCAAATTTGAATCAATTCATCCAAACACATATTAAACCTCTACTTTGTGCCTGGGCACTGTGGTTGGTTCTGGAAAGGACCCTTAGGGATCTGGAAGGTGGTGGGAAACGATCAAGGAAGGACTAGAATCCTCTAAATGCTGCACTCGGGGCTGGTGGCAGAGCTGTGTTTATAACAGCTGCTCTCTGCTGCCTAAACACGAGGGCAGGTGATTGGAAGACAAAAAAACAAAGCAGGTCTGCTCCCTGTCATCTGGGGGCAGCTGGGGGAGGAGAAGGGGCAGCCCAGGGTCAGGGCCATTTCACAGGGCAGTTTCTCCTGCTGCAACCCATTATTTGTCAGCCTTATCTTTTTATGCCCAGGCACAGCCTCGATTTTGCCCCAAATATCCCTGACCTAAAATTCCCTCTCTTGTTAGGCCATCAAATACCATCAGTAATAATGGATACTTTGGCTGCAATTCTCCAAAACGTCATGGTATTAGGCAAAAAATATTCCTCAAGAGGCTCTTTCTTGAGGCGCCCGGGTGGCTCAATCAATTAAGCATCCAACTTTGGCTCAGGTTCAGCTCTCGTGGTTCACAAGTTCAAGCCCCACATCCAGCTCTGTACTGACAGCTCAGAGCCTGGAGTCTGCTACAGATTCTGTGTCTCCCTCTCTCTCTGCCCCTCCCCTGCTCGCACTCTGTCGCTCTCTCAAAAATAAATAAACATTAAAAAGAAAAAGTGGCTCTTTCTTTTTCATCACAAATTTCCTCATTCCTCACTTTAAGGCCTATCTTTAAAATATCAGGAAAAAAGAAAAAAAAATCAGACATCCGGACAGCCTTACAATTTGAACTTGGTGAAAAACGAAAAACAATAGATTATTCTCTCATCTCCACCTCTTCACCTTCTGTGAGAATGATAAGGAATTTTCACATATTTATTTATGAATTAATCATCCTTTAAGTGACCCTGCTTCTTAAATTTAATTTAGATTGGTTTTCTTTATTTTTTTAAGTGTCTTTTTTTTTTTTTTTTTTTAGTTATTTCTATACCCCGTGCAGGGCTCGAACTCATGACCCCAAGATCAAGAATCACATGATCTTCCACTGAGCCAGCCAGGCACCCCTAGGTTGGTTTTCTTCAAACAGAAATTTTCACCAGTCACTATGATAAGTATGGGCAACAAAGTGACATGTTACATTAGGCTTATTTTTTCCTCTAGTGATATTTTTGCAGCCTCTGGTTTCTGTTTGAGGTCATTCTTTTTTTGTTGTTGTTTTTAACGTTTATTTATTCTTGAGACAGAGACAGACAGAGCGTGAACAGGGGAGGGGCAGAGAGAGAGGGAGACACAGAATCGGAAACAGGCTCCAGGCTCTGAGCTGTCAGCACAGAGCCGGGCCCAGGGCTTCAACCCACGAACTGTGAGATCATGACCTGAGCCCAAGTTGGCCGCTTAACCGACTGAGCCACCCGGGCGCCCATGTTTGAGGCTGCTCTTTAGGAACTTTTAAGGCTTTCCTCAGAAGAGATGCAAAAAACAAGCCCGACCAAGCAGTGCATTAATGGGAGGAGACCAGAATAAAGAGGGGCTGGGGCGCCTGGGTGGTTCAGTCGGTTGAG